CACAGGAAGCAGAAAGGCCTGGACTAGGAACCAAGAATTCTGGGTTTTTTGCTCTCAGCCCTTTTATTAACTTGTGTGATTCTGGGTACATTATTTCCCTTTTCTGGGTTTCATTTACTTCATCTGGGGAAAGATTACAATGACCACGACTACTTACAAGCTTCTTTCTTATCCTAAGAATGCTAAAAGTCTACAAGGCATTTTTCATTAGATTTTATCATGAGCAGCCTCAGTTTACTGCCTGGGTGCCCATGAATAGTGCCAAAGACCACTGGAGAACTAGGGCAGGCCACAGCCCATCTAAATATGCAAGACCCTGCCTGTGCCCTACTCCATGTACACCAAATTCTGCACATGGTAGATCTTTTCCTAAATCTCGAATTATAAAAATAACCAGTCAGAGACAAAGAATAAAGACCATGGAAGAAGGACATTAACAGTAGATGAGGTAATCAATCAAAAGTTTAAAATATTGCTTACAGTGTTTTGGTATCCTGAGAACTTAAGGGACAAAAGTAACTTAAAAAAAATCTCATCCAGCTCCAATGTCAGCCTTGAGGAGGCTTTTCTAACTCCCATCAACTGTAGCAAAGACTGTTCTTCATCCCTTCACCAAATGCACATTTAAAGGTGCACGCAACCCACCCCAACCCTGACTACCAGCTTGTGTCATGGGAAGTGGCCTCATTTTTTTTGTCGTTCCACTCCCAGAAATCCTAAACCCGGGAAGTGAACCAAACCATCAGCCCGAAAGCCTAGGAAGGCAAGTCCCTGGACCTACCTTTTTTCGGGCCTGCAATGTCTGCGGTAGGTCTGATGCGTGCAGGGCTCTGGGCAAGTTCCCCAAAGTTCTTTGGTCCAGACCCAGTCAGCTTCCCCCACTCCACACCTCACTCAGTTTAAATCTGCATTCCTCTTCTAGTAGATGTTTGGAACCTGAAAGGATGTGTTGAGAATTTCTGAGACCCACAACTAGTTCCTGTTTTGTATCGGAAGCATTAACTGATTTTGTGTTCCCAATATGGGTGTGGATGTCTATTTTGAAATGTGTTGAAAAAGCAGTGGCTGCCTGATACAGTCTTTCCTGTGAAAGTAATAGTGCTAATTACTGTGGGTGTCAGTGGTGGAGGAGTTTCTATGTGCCAGACTCTGCTCAAAGATTGTTAGATACACAAACTAAGTAAATGGTAATTTATAAATGCCCCCTTTCACAATTTCACACATTTCCATAGTACTCTTGTCTTCCCAGAGAACTACTATTACTATTGTATTAGGTTGGTGAAAAAGTAATTGTGTCTCAATATACACAAGTTAAATATCTTATTTTCATGGTATTTCACCTTTGGAGGTTCAACATGAATAGCCATAAAATGGGAACAAGTCTGTTGTACAGCAATAATTAATACAACATCTTTCTAAGTTAAAGAAGCCGCTGGTATCATAGAACAAGCTGGTCTTTGACTAAGACAAACCCAAAAGCAATCATTTATTGCATGACCTTGTTAATCCCCTGAACCTGATTCATTTGTAAAATAAAATAGTGCCTACTTTACATGGAGGAGGAAAACAAAGTGGCGTGCAGTTTTCATTGATTCCGCGTTTTCTTAGAGAAAAGCTACCATAAGCCATGTGCTTCAGATAAAATGGTGAAAAATCATCTTCGCTCAAGGATTTTGTAGACTACTTGACAATACAGACAAGTAAATAAGTCACCCATTATAATCAGTTACCTGCAAGGTAAAGTGGCAATGCTAATGAGTAAATAAATCATTACAACCGATTATAATCAGTGATCTGCAAGGTAAAATAGGGTATCCTAAGAGAGCTCATAGGAGGATCAATGAACTCAACGTTGGGTAGGCAGAGGAGACTTCTTAGATAAGGAGACATCTAATTGGAGACCTGATGAATAAGTAAAAGACACACAAATGGAAGAAGGACGGAGCTAGATAATGTTGTTATTCCCATTTTCCCGAAGATGGAACTGAAACTCAGAGATATTCCTATAGCTGGTATAGATGAGACTGACATCCAGTTTTGCCTAATCCCAAAAACTTTGTTGTCTATAATCTGAAATTATTTTAATTCTCAGAATTAAAATGGGTTATATTTCAGAAATAGTGTCCTGGTTTTCATGTACAGCAACAATAGGAATACGTAATACTGAAATCAGGGAATTAGGGTCAAGAAAGAAGCAGTTCTCTAGGGAAGGGATGATGGTTACCTGAACTACCTGTGATGCTAGTGAAGTTGGAGAGAATGAATGGATTTGAAAGATGTTTAGGAGTGAGAAATGGCAGTACTTGTTGATATAATGGATGTGTAAATCGGGAGAAAAAACAGGAAAGGATGACACTCAGATTCTGGGTTAGGAAACTGAATGAGTGATGGAGCCATTCACTAAGGCAATAGACATGGACAACGACAGAACTGGAGGAACAAAGAATAAGACTTTGAGCATATTTAATTTGAATTGTGTGGGTCCTTCAAATGAGGTTGACGAAAGTTGGATAACTCGCAGGAGCTGGGGAATGAGAACATGGTTGTAGAGGTAAAGCCAATAGCTCTTCACCCAGAGGAATGAGCTCACCCAGGCTTGTGGGCGGAGGCAGAAAAGATCAAACCCTTTTTGCTAGAGTATAGAACCAGTATTATCAGAAATAAGAGTTCCCAGAGGATGACAAAAAAGAGATTAAAGAAGATAACAGGCAAACTAAGAAAATGTGGCACTACGGAAGACAAAGGTACAGAGTTTCATGACTTTATAAGAGAGGTTGAAATTCTAGACTAAGAACAGACGTCAATCTTTCCTCCTCTTCCATATGGTGTGAAGTGAGATCTTATTAGTGTTATCATTAGCAGACAAGTGATTGAGGACTTACGGTGATATAAAGAACAATAGGCTGGGCGCGGTGGCTCACACCTGTAATCCCAGCACTTTGGGAGGCTGAGGCAGGTGGAACACGAGGTCAGGAAATCGAGACCATTCTGGCTAACACAGTGAAACACTATCTCTACTAAAAATACAAAAAAATTAGCCGGGTGTGGTGGCAGGCGCCTGTAGTCCCAGCTACTCGGGAGGCTGAGGCAGGAGAATGGCATGAACCCTCGAGGCAGAGCTTGCAGTGAGCCGAGATCATGCTACTGCACTCCAGCTCAGGCGACACAGTGAGACTCCGTCTCAGAAACAAACAAACAAACAAAAAATGGAACAATAAAAATGAAATTTGACAGAGAAACAGAAATAGAATCACTCTACCTCTAAATAAGCATAAGACAAAACTAACTACTATAGAAATAAAAGCAAATAAAAACGAGCTCAAGTTCAGTGTCAAAACTATAAGTAGCAGAGAAGTAGGTCAGAGCCCAGAGCAGTTGTTAATTAATTTTTAAAATTATATTGGAAAAGCTGGGTCAGTTGATCCGCTTTCCCTCACACAGGCATACATAACAAGGTAGTTTATCCCCAAAGCAAAATATGAGAACTGTTTTATGAGCAAAAACCAAACAAAAAAAAGAATTAAGGTCTAAGCTTCCATTCACAGGGTATAAAGGAAAAGAAAAAAGCAGAGAACCTTATGGAATTGATTCCCAAATGAAAGTCCTGAGCTCATACTTTAGAGCTGGGATTCTGATGATGAAGACACAGAGGTCACCTTAGTCAGGAGAAGGAGGGGGCTTTCTCTCAACCATGTCACAACCAATCGATATGTATAACCTGGCTTTATGCCCCCTCTTCTCTCACAGTCACCAGATGTAGGCTGTGGTAAGCACATTCCCTGACATGATAAGAGAAATTACCAAATGAAAGTGTAAATGAACACTGAATATTTAAGAAAACCAATATTGTAAAATAGAGAAACCAAATACAACAAACAAATGAACAAAAAATGTTTTCTATTTTTTTGATTGAAGGTTCTATATACCCCTTTATTGCATTATTTCTCTCTCCAATTAATTTTAGTAGTTATAAAGACTCTTTTTTTAAAATTATACTTTAAGTTCTGGGGTACATGTGCACAACGTGCAGGTTTGTTATATATGTATACATGTGCCATGTTGGTGTGCTGCACCCATTAACTCGTCATTTCCATTAGGTATATCTCCTAATGCTATCCCTTCCCCTCTTCCCCCACAATAGGACCCGGTGTGTGATGATCCCCTTCCTGTGTTCAAGTGATCTCATTGTTCAATTCCCATCTATGAGTGAGAACATGTGGTATTTTGTTTTCTGTTCTTGCGATAGTTTGCTGAGAATGATGGTTTCCAGTTGCATCCATGTCCCTACAAAGGACACAAACTCATCCTTTTTTATGGCTGCATAATATTCCATGGTGTATATGTGCCACATTTTCTTAATCGAGTCTATCACTGATGGACATTTGGGTTGATTCCAAGTCTTTGCTATTGTGAATAGTGCTGCAATAAGCATACGTGTGCATGTGTCTTTATAGCAGCATGACTTATAATCCTTTGGGTATATCCCCAGTAATGGGATGGCTGGGTCAAATGGTATTTCTAGTTCTAGATCCTCGAGGAATCGCCACACTGTTTTCCACAATGGTTGAACTAGTTTACAGTCCCACCAACAGTGTAAAGTTATAAAGTCTTTTATTGTGTGTTCTTGTAATCCTAAAAATTAAAGCATGTGCATTTGATGTATCAAATTCTAATAACATTTAGAACATTTATTTCCTCCAGGAAAGTCAATAATGTGATGATAGATTTAATCCCAAATATATACATAAATGTGTCATATGTAATAAAATGCAAACATTTCAGACAAAATTTTAAAAGGTCAAAACTGAACTAATTACCATTTAAAAGAAGCAAATGTTAATGCATACAAAAAGTGTAAAGTACAAGGATGAGAAATGATATATCGAGCAAACCCTAACCCAAAAAAACTGATCAGAGAAAATTGACCTCGGAGCAAAATATGTTACTGATGAGCAAAGGGACTAATTTTTAATTATAAAAATAGTACAATCTTCAGAAAGATGTAATCAGTTTAAGTGTGTATGTATTTAATAACAGAACCTCTAAATACACATAGCAAAAATTGACAACGCACAGAATATTAGATAATATTTTAATACATGTAATGAAGAAAGGATATATATATATCCAGAATATATAAAAAACCAGGGAACATTCAGAGGCCATAAGCAATAGTGCTGATAAAAATAGGATGATGGCTCGGCTTGAGGAGGTGGGAGAAATACAGAGTTAAAAAATGGTTGTGTAGGATTAGAATATGATTGATGGATCCTAGAGGGTATGTAACAGGGTATGTACGACAAACTACCAGACATTTAACACAGACAACTGAGCTAATTGTTGGGCCTTCTACCAAGAAAGGACACTTGCAGTCCCATAGCCCTCTTAGGGTTCCTGTGTCCTTTCGCTCTTGCCTCTCTTGATTAGGGACTGTTGTAGGGTTCTGAAATAATCTCCACATAATATTCCTTGTGCCACCTGCTTACACAGCATTTCCACTTCTGCCTGGACTTGGCCAGTAGCCATAGCCTACTGTTGTCCCAGAAAGTACCCAGACAAGCAGGACAGGCAATGCACCCACCACCCAGACTAGTAGCCAGGCAGGCAATGCTTGCTACAGCTTCCAGAGCAGTAGTCCCTCTTACATGTGAACTCATCCAGAAATTGTAGGCTTTAGGTGTGCCAGAAAACGCCTGGCCTGTGGAGTGGACAACCTCACCCACCCACACCACTGGCAGCCATGCGGGCAACGCTTACTAGAGCCCTGGCCCAGCAGCTCCACTCTGTATGGAGTCAGCCAGAGGGCACAGCCTCCTGTAATCACAGAAAACACCCTGACAGCAGGGCAGGTAATGCAACCCAACCCTGCCACTGTTAGCCTGCTGGGCAATGTCTGCTAGAGTTCTGGCCTAGTGGGCCTACTTCTCTGTGAGCTG